CTGCAAGAGCTAGTTCCGGGACGGGCACCAAAGCTACAGAGAAACCCTGTCTCGAAAAACCAAAAAAAAAAAAAAAGGCCAGCTGGACTGAGACTGAAAAAACATGGGATAAAACCGGACTCTCTGAACATGGCAAACAATGAGGGCTGATGAGAAGCCAATGACAATGGCACGGGGTTTTGATCCTACTTCATGTTCTGGCTTTGTGGGAGCCTAGCCAGTTTGGATGTTCACCTTTCTAGACAAGGACAGAGGGGAGAGGACCTTGGACTTTCCACAGGGCAGGGAACCCTGACTGCGCTTTGGACTGGAGAGGGAGGGGGAGAGGAGTGGGGTGAGGGGGAAAAGGATGGGAGGAGGGGGAGGGAAATGGGAGGCTGGGAGGAGGCGGAAACTTTTTTTCTTTTTCTCAATAAAAATTAAAAAAAAAAGAATAAAGCTTAGCCTCCATCCTCACCTTAAAAAAAAAAAACACAAAAGAGAAGAATCAATGTTTGATAAAATATTAAAATACTGGGAATAAAAGAAAAAAAGACCTACAGCCAGGCAAGGTGGCACAAGAATTTAATTCCAGCACTGGGGAAGTAGAAGCAGGTACGTCTCTGAGTTCAAGGCCAGCCTTGCAACAGAACTGCTGTTCAAGTAAAAAGAAAGTTCAGACAGGTGTGGCCGCCCTCACACCTTCACACAAGGGAGGGTGAGGCAGGACTGTTGTTGAGAGTTGAAGGCACATTGGGCAAAATGAGTGCCAGCTAACTGTGAGTTCATGGTAAAATCCCATCCCAAAAAATTCATGTGCTAGGGGCTGGAGAGATGGCTTAGTGGTTAAGAGCATTGCCTGCTCTTCCAAAGGTCCTGAGTTCAATTCCCAGCAATCACATGGTGGCTCACAGCCATCTGTAATGGTGTCTGGTGCCCTCTTCTGGCCTTCAGGCATACAGACAGAATATTGTATACATAATAAATAAATAAATAAATATTTTAAAAAAATTCATATGCTAGATCCATAGATGTAAAGTTAACGATGCAGTATTTCTATACTGGATCAATGGATGAATTATTTATTTATTTATTTATTTGTTAATGTTTTTCAATGAACAGATTCTCAGCTGAGCAGTGGTCCCACATGCCTTTATTCCCAGCATTTGGAAGGCAGAGGCAGGCAGATCTTTGTGAGTTTGAAGCCAGCATGGTCTACAAGAGCTGGTTCCAGGACAGGCTCCAAAGCTGCATAGAAATATTGTCTCAGAAAAAAAGAAAGGAAAGAAGGAAGGAAGGAAGAAAAAAAGGGAGGGAGGGAGGGAGAGAGAGAGAGAGAGAGAGAAGAAAGAAAGAAAGAAAGAAAGAAAGAAAGAAAGAAAGAAAGAAAGAAAGAATCTCTTTGTAGCCCTGACTGTGCCAGAACTCACTCTGTGAGCCAGGCTGGCCTTGAATTTAGAGGTCTGCCTGCTTCTGCCATCAAAGGGTTGGGATAAAAGGCCCGTACCACTTCTGGCTGGCTTCAGTGAATAAATTAATCAGTTATTATCTAAGTTTTTCCTGGGTTTAGATCTGATTGTACGGCAACTAAATCCCTAATGGAGTAAGAAGATTGGACTCAGGTGTAGACTCAGATTACAGGCTTAGTCTAGGAGGGCGTGGCTACAAAGGGGCGGGTTCAGTGGAAAGGGTTATAAAGAGTAGAGCCGCCAGAGAAGCCCGGAGAGTCTCAGGTCCAGGAGCTACGCTGTTTCCCTGCCTTGAATTGGAGGCCTCTCACCAGTGCCCGACTCAGGTAAATTCATCAGCTCTATAATCTCCTGCAGCCTCGTCTAGCCTTGTCTGCGCCTCAAATACTGTGTGTGGTCTTTTAGTTTGCAGGGAATTCTGATACTTTTACTTTTGGGGATTTTTGTTTTTGATTTTTCTGTTCTGTTTTTAAGGTCAGTTCTCACATAGATTCTCTTACTTCAGAGATCTTTGGACTGGATAACCTGAATATGTCAGTATGTTCTTATTTATATATGATAACTAATTGGGTGATTTGTGATTTCTCTGTTAATTCAGAAAGAGACTACTAAAAGATAAAATAAAATAAAAATTAAAAAAGAGAGACTACCAAGATTGTCAGGGTGACCTTGAATTCAAGGTTGTTCAGACTGAAAGAAAGGGGAGGCACTCACCCCTTGCTTGTGTTCCTCTTTTTGTCAATTTAAGCCAGGCTTGCCTTAAATCCCAGCACGAGGAAGGTAGAGGAAGGCTGATCTTAGTTTGAGTTGACTCAGTGAGTTCCCTTCCAGGACCTGTTGGCATGCTATTTGACCCCAGAATGTAGCAGCCAGAGCGTGGTGGAGGTGGAGGCTAAAGTGGTCTCCAGAGGAATCTCTGTGAAAGCCAGGCTCACAGTGAGTTCCACATTGGCAGGGTTATACTACCTTGTATCTAACTAGAAAATGAAACAAAGTTGTTTGCACCTGCGGATTGCTGCGTGGACTCCTCTTTCTGGAGCCTATGTTGTCCTCAAACTTGAGGAAAGCAGCCTGCTTCCATTTATTCAGTGTCCAGTTGACATTTAATTAAACACTCTGCCCCCCTGCAGTCTTAGTTGCAGATGAACTCGTGAAGCTGTTCTGGTGCTCTTAAACTGTAAACAGCTGTGGCGTTGTTCTAGTGCGTTTCCTTCCTCCAGCATGGAAACGATCGTTTTCATCTCTAGTCTTCTCCTGGGAATCGGGAAAGTTAAACAGCCACATTGGTCCGTCTTACAGCCAAGCAGTGGTAACACAGCCCTATAATCACAGTGGCATAAGAGGCAGGAGGTGCATGCCTTTAAGACCAGTGGTACCGGCTTTTAATCCCAGCCCTAGAGAGGATTATAAAAGAAGGCAACAGCTCTCCCAATCTCATTCAGAGATTCCTGGAGGCAGGATCACCATTTTCAGATTGAGGTCCAGGTAAGAACCAGTGGCTGACTGCTTTTCTATTTGAATCTTCAGGTTGAATCCCAATTTCTCTGAGGTCTTACTAATCATGTATCATTTGGCACCCACTCTTTTGGTACATGAATTTACAAAAAAAAAAAAAATCCATTTGCCTGTGGCTTTTTAGCCACCAACTCTTGCCAAAGTTGGGATTGGAATTCCAGCTCTAGGAATTGGAACCCAAACCTAGACACCACCTGGGTTCAGAGAACTCCCAGCTCCCATCCTCCCTGGCTTAGCTTCTTCTCCAGCTGTGCCTGTCCTTGCTGCCACCCCGTCTCGCACCCACATGAGAAAACCATCGATAACAAAAAGCTCGTAAACTAGAAGATATAATTGAATGAGGGGGGCATCTTCCAGCCCCAGGAAGCAGCAGAAGCTAGAAGCTTTGGCCACCTTGTTCTGTAGTGAAGAACAGAGTCAGGTGCAGCTGTTTGGTAACTGTCTTTTTCCAGGTAGGCTTGGTTTGCTGCTTTTTAAAGAGACGCTTCCTAGCAGCAAAAA